CGACTGATACTCCGGAAATTCAGCTTGGCAACGAAATTTGGTGAGTTTTAGAGTGTTTATTGTTTATTGAATTATATATAACGTTTCAATCCAAGAGAAACTTCGAGTTTTTATCAGCATATGTAAAAAATCTTCAGTCACTACGTGCTCTACCTCTTAAGTCGGTTTGCGGAGCGAATGGTGCAAAATAAAGTAAGTGAAAAATAAACAAGCATAAAGTAAAATAAAATTACGAGCTGGAACCAGGATCCGATCCTAGGACCTCCCGCCTGCGAGGCGAGCGCGCTACCGTTTGGCCATGCGGTGCTGATAAGGATGGAGAGCCTCTATCACCTACGTCTACCTTGTGCCGCTAGCGCACGCGTTTTTTCCACATCTTTAGCCCCTTTTTTGAGGGCTTTCCCGACCCCATTCGAAAAAACGAAAAAATACGGCATCCCTAAAGTCATCTCTAGTATCTTCATGCGAAATTTCAACTCGAAATTCCGGTTACACTTGGGAAGCTCCCCTTGTTAGTAAGAATGTACCACAGAGTAAAGTTCAAAAAGTATTAAAAATCCCGTTTTGGCGATCAGTAGTATTGAAAGCGATTCTTACCCATGGTCTGAATTTCTAGGTGTGGAGATACGTGGCATCTCTGGATGAGAAAGAACGTAAAAAAGATTTTACACGAAGAGTAGAAGCAAGATGGACTAAATTATCCGATATTATCAGACATACCATTATGATCTCGAGTTAATATGAATGTGCAAGATAGATAGTTCGTTTTTCTGTTTCTGTTGTTATCTGGTTTCACGTAACCTACTATCGACTAAGAGCAAAAAATAATGGAACTAAACTGAGCCTATCCATATCCTCTGCTGTCCTGTCTGTCATATGTTCTCCTGTCCATCATATGCATGAAATTCTGTATGAAACCCTGACTGAATGCTCATCGCCTACTTTACGGTATTCTAACCGCCACCACTCTCCGTTGATGTACAAATTAACAGGAATATGAGAGACGACGATGAAAAGAAACGCAAAAGAAGAAAATAATAGAAGCAAAAGAAGAAGACATTCAAGTTTATTTTCCTGTATCTCTAAACCGTCTAGAATAACGAGCAAAGCAGAGCAGAGAGTACTTTAAAATTCACAAACACAGGGAAACGTGCACCCACACTGCGACAATTTTGTTTCACCGGGAATAAGTATTCAAGAAGAATAAATAATCATCACCTGTAATCGCTTGGGTGCCCAAATCAAATGATTAGAGTATAATTCAATTAAATGCTGCTCTCTTTGAGCGGTTCTTCCTGCACTCTAGAACATAAATACTTAAAGTCTGATGTGAAAATCCTTATGGAAGAAAACAACATCTTGGCTGAGGCACTTGATGACGTTATTCTTCAAAGTACCAACTTGTTTGAAAGAGCCCAAATGACGGAAGCAGCTCTTGACCGAGTTGGAGATAATATTAACAGCATACAACATACATGTCGACCGTAGAAGACATCGTTGGTTCGTTGGTTATATCTAAGGAACAGAAGCAAGCCTTTCCTCAACTTCAAACAATCTCTTGCTGAACGTGAGGCAGAACAACGAAAGTCTGAGGAAGAATAATGAAGTATGAAATCTCGAAGAATCAACTGATCATGAATCATGAAATTTAAAAAGGAACAACTAATCATGAATCCACCCAAATTCGACAAAGAACTGACAAATCTTAACAATCAAAAACTACGCGAAAACGCAACGGCCTCTGTGTAAAGCTACATTGCAGAATGCAACTCACATATACCCAACTAGTGGGTGAGCAATGCAACCAAAGCAATCTAAACAATGAATGACAATCAAGAACCCCTTTCGGAAAACTTCGGAGAAGGCGACAACTATCATTCTGTCAATGCTTATCCGAATCAACCCTTTCCCATACCTATGTTTTTATCCAATGGTTTTTCATAAGGTTAAGGTTTTTAATGAGGCAGTGTTTTCTGTAAATAATGAAGTTCATAAAAAGCAAATGTTCCCGAGTATTGAGAGGAATACAACAGATGATGCGTTCAAAATTCATCAAATATTTAAATGTCAACAGATGTTACGACAACTGAAAATTGTCTACTTTTTAACTGAATTTCAATTTGACCCTGAAGAACCTCCTAGTCCTGGCCACAGTACGATTTTAACACTTTTAATGCGGTCGACATACCACACGCGATTTTTTTGCGGAAATGTCAACTAGAAGGCCTACTGATTGAGGAACAAGGTAGATTTACACAGGTATGGACAGAACTAAACAACTGGCCTCTGATTGGCTCTACAGAGGCCCCTTAACTTCCGCCATTTTGTATGTTTTGATTATTTACATTTATTATGTTCGGTTTATCGTTTGTCAAAGTTTTGTGGGATTTTTTGCACAATTTTGATAATGCGATATTAATTTTAACGTTTAAACGCACAAACGTTAGAATGTTAATTTGATGGTAATCTTACTCTATAGTATAAAATCATAAGGGTGCCGTGTCACGCTGAGGGTGTAACGCTAATCATGTCACAAACCGGTTTCTCCTCCACTTCCCGCTCCCCTCCCGCCGCGCACGCTCAGATGCTTCCCGCCGTCTCCTAACCGGGTTTTCCCTAACTCTTAGGCCTTGTGTCGACGGCGCAACTGTTGAGGGAAATTGGCGCAACTGTTGAAGGAAGGAAGTGTCTCAAAAATGTTTCACTTATAAGTGAAACTTTCAAAGTCAGAAACCTGGAACCTCAACAGATGTTTACCTTCGTGTTTTGAATTGATAAACGCTGGTTACACGTGAAGCGGGAGTTTATTACGGGTGTTTTATTTCATTCGGAACGGTTATTATTTAGAAATATTTGTACACATTTCAGTTTCAATTTTATATTTTCGTTTGTAGCATATCACTACAGCAGGAAAATAAAATTTTATCGAATATATTTTCTTTTTATCCATATCTGAGTTATGTTATTGTTTTTTGTTTTATACCTGGTCGACATAACGCAAAATATTCACCTCCCGTTCATAATTATCAGTTCAGTTATCTAAATTGACATCGTTTAACCTAGAAAAATTAATATTGTTCAAATATTCCCGCCTAAAAGTTCCAGGAACACATGCGTGCGCGTCGAGACAGGGAATTTCGGTTGGTGCAACAAACTCGCTGCAGTTGCACCTAATTCCCTCAACAGTTGCGCCGTCGAGACAAGGCCCTAATGATCTTTTAACGATCTCACGATATCTGCTTATTAGAGGCGCGAAGCGCCTCTGGGGGGTTAGACCGCGGAGCGGCCAGGGGGCGCAGCCCCCTAGTTTAATTAAAAAACAGGCCCCTTAACCTACATCACGTAGTCATGTGACACGTACTGAGGCTCATGGGAAATTTTCAACTTGTCCATACCTGTGTAAAGCCGACTGCACACACAGCAAGTAGGGACCCGCAAGTGGCACGTCGGTGCCACTTGCAGTGTTGAGTGTTGTTCGCGCAAACTGCGCGGCCCGCGCAGTTTGCACGCTCACCGATGTAACCGATGAGCCACTTGCAGTCACGTGTTGAGTACCTATATTGAGAGAGTATAAGCGAATTTTCGCGGCGAATCGGGTAGAGCGCGTGAATCCGATCCGGTGAATTCGTATTTTCTCGTGAGCCCGATCCGCGTTTTCGGGGCTCACCAAACAGATGGTTGGTGCTCACCGGGATCATCGTTGGGATCCAGACTGAACCCCGCAGAACACTGGGGGTTTGCTCGAATCCGATGCCATTGTTTTGCTCATAACTCATCCTTCATCGGAATTTCAAAATATTCTAGAGTTTTCATGATCGTTATATCGTTATCCATTTCACGTTTCAACCGTAAGTTACCGCAAGATTGAATGGATCATGGAAAAAAATGCTGGTAAGTAATTTTCATTCTTCTTCCGAATTATAATTAAAATAAAGAGACAAATTATGAAGCGGGTGAAAAAGCTGAACCCATTCCTTGAAGCTCAATCTCCATGCCGTTCCCTTGTATTTAAATTGGAGGTAGTGGTTTTCATTGCTATGGAAATTATTAAAATCAGGAGATAGCCTCGTTTAGATGAACTGAATTATTCACACTGGCCATCTCCTTCAAAGCATATGCTTCCTACAAATTTGTTCGCCATAAAATTTCATTATTCATTGGGACATAAAAGAGAACGTATATTTAAAGAAACAACCATTCAGTCTTATCACCTAACCTCATTTAGGTCATGTTTACATTATTTCCCGCTCGTTTCCGTTGGGTCGATCACTCCGTCGTCTTTTCACGGCGACGGATCTACGATGGGTGTTGCATCATAGCACTGATTACATCAGTCACATCGGATTCAACAGGATTCAAGACGAATCGATCGGATGGACGCGAAAATTCGCTTTATGGCCACTGGAGTTACCACCTCTGATTGGCTCAGCCATCTTAGGCTGAATGGAGCCCTTAGGACCCAAAAATGGCGGACGCCATAAAGTTAATGTAATGCAAAATGATTCAAAATGTACTTGTCTTTGCTTATCGTAACGAGAATTTTACCTAAATGCACTACTACGACTATTTACATATTTTTAAGGCTAATCGTGTGCAATTTTTGAGAAAAATGATCTTAGATGTAGTAAGGTTGGCAGCAAGTGCGGTTGGTGATAACCGTCAAAAGTTGGCAATGACCCCCCTCCCATCCTCAAAAACCAAAACAAAGCACCGCCATTTTTGGGTCCTAAGCCTCTCCATGGGACCCAGTGGCCATACTCTCTTAATATAGGTACTCTAGTCACGTGCAGATCCCCACTTGCTGTGTAGGCAGTCGGCTTTAAATCAAGGCGGATAAAGAATGGTGGTCGCATCTCGTACCCTCGTGACGTCACGATTGTAAACAAACCATTGACGTATAATACAATCTAGACCGCGCATTAGGAAATTTCGGCAAGACTAGAGTCCCTTCAGGCGAGACGATAAGCAACCCAGCAACACTCAGTAAGTGTACCGACCGAGACAATGGAAATGCCAGTCTTCTCGGTGCCGTTGCCTGATACGGGTACACTTAGCTTATATATCCGGCGGTATCAACTAGGCTGAAGGCGCGTCTTTACCCCCCTAGCTGTCTTACCTTCCCCGCCTAAAGTCGGGCCCAATGCGCGGTCTAGATTGTATTATACGTCAATGAAACAAACCCAACTGCGGAGTTAGGGGGTTTGAGGTTTACGCTGCACTCTAACGCTACAAGGTATTGTATAGTCACTTATCATTGTAAGTATTTCTGGCGTTGATAGCCCGAATTTAAAGTGAAATTACTGCGGTGTATTTTATTTTGCTATCTTTATCAGTGAATAATTTAAAGACCGTGAGAGGTTTTTTTTTTTTTTTTTTTTTTTTTTTTTTTTTTAATATTTTTTATTTTCTCCATGGGTACCTGATTATCAATATAATTTTTCGGGGGATCCCCCAAACCCCCTTGTCTGGGGGGAGTCCTCCCTTTGTTTTTCAGAAATCCCCGACCCCCTCTCCGTTTTTCCAATTTTCACACTTGTCTCCCAAATTTCCGAAAGTACAAATTTCTCCTGGAAGCATCAAAAAGAGGAATGATTGTACGTTATTTCCAAATTTCTAAGGAAAAACTACCGCATTACAGCTCTCAAAAATCCGAAATATACTAAGTCCAAAATGATAGGTCCAGTTTCGTCAGAAAGTTGCACATGTGCGTGAAGGAACGAGCCCATCGGGCACATTTCTTTAAACACAAATTTCAGCCAGAAATATTAAACATTAGAATGATTGTAACTTCCTTGCAAATTCTCAGTAAAAATTAACTCAGAATACGATCTGAAAGCGTTTCATTAGGAAGGAAAACTCATAATTCCGTTTGGAAGTTGTATGAGCCTCGCGCCGCGCCGCGGCATCGCATCGGGTACACTTCGGGTACATTTCAAATCGCGCGGTAAAAGCCCGTACCCTCTGCACGTCACACATCTTCAAGATGGCAGCCAAAATCGAAATGCGACCACCATTCTTTATCCGCCTTGGCTTTAAATCTGTAGTTTGGCCGTTTTCGAGAAAATGCGATTTTTCGCTTTTTCGGCGGGAATTTCTGGCCAAGGCGCTGAAAAAGTCAAGTTAGGCTGTTTTTGTGGCTTGTAAATGCAGATTCTATACATTTTTAGTCAATTAAGTATCAGTAGATAGCTATTCGTACATATTGCTAAAAATTGCCCCCAAATTGCCTAAGCTTCAAAATGGGGGCCATAATAGACCGTATTCGATAACGGTTCGATGTATCGTTTGGTTCAAAACAATAGAACATAACCTCAAACCAAACTTTAAGGATTTTAATTGGAAAAGCTGAAAATGAGAAAGGACCCCGCACACCTCTTATGGGAAGCTGCACCACGTCCGATTGCCTTCTGACTTATGTTTTTCGATTCTCCTCAAGATGCTGATCAAAAGTTATAATTGCGCCAACTTTCTACGATGCACCGTTTTCGCAAAAAACCTAAGAGAAGATTCAATTATTCGGCGATAAAAAGCCAGAAAGATTCCTCATTTCAGTACTCGAGTGAACAAATCAGGGGAACTCCCGCACTGAGCGGGAGTCTCGGGAGCGTCCCGTCTTATCTCGGATTCCGCTCGCCGTTTTGCTCGACTATGGAATGATTCTCTGGACAATATTAATTTCTT